ATAAAAAAATATATATATAGATATATATATATATAATATATATCTATACTGTATATAAAGTCTTGACACAAAGAAGACAGTTAGGATGCAGCATGTTTCAGTTTTTTATTCCAACTATTAATTAAAGTTTGGTCAGTTAAAAAAGAAAAATACATGAAACACATTTTTCTAAGGAATGAAGAACTCTTTCCACCTTGAACACCAAAGTTTCAAAACAAAAATCTTGAACTGTTTCTGTGAGAATATGTTGGGGATGACTCTCAGCTACTACCACACCAAGCTTTACCTCAATACCTGTAAAACTGACAGAGTCGTAGCCATTTGTGTGTTAGCTCTGGTGGCCATCTTGAATTGGTCGACTCCAAAAGTTAATCAGATGTTCGTCCAAGAATTATTTGGAGTTTATTTAAAATCCACCCAGTGGTTCACAAGATATTTAGCTGACAAATTAAGACAGCTCATTACGTAAAACGGATAAAGACAAAAGTGTTAAAAAAGCACAACAAGAGAAGACATCCCATAGATCTGAAACATTTTAATTTAAATAGCTCCACTGTGTCTGGTTTGAAAAATGTAGTGCAAATGAATACACAACTGCAATATGAAAACTAAAACTAAAACTAAAACAGAGGGACGATGAGGAAACTAGTGTTAAAAGCATCACCCCTCCAATCATTTATCACGTTACCATGGCAGCAGACAACAAAGGTGAGTAAAAGTGATGAGCAACTGTTTCTTTTGGTTTCTGTTCTTCTGCAGGCACACTGAGTCAACTATTGCACTGACGTCGCTCCAGAACATTGATTACCTGAGATCCAAAACGCCTCTACTTCCTGTTTCCCTGTTGATCGACTGGTTTGAATTAAAATTGAGCTCAGAGTTTTGTAAAAGGCAAAGTGGGGGGGGGGGGGGGGGGGTGCTGAGGGCCAGAGACAAACAGCTTCATGTCAACACGAAACATAAAAATTAGATTCAACACACAACTGTCATTCATGGAGGTGAGCCCTGAATTATGTGCACATCATTTCCTGGTTGTTCACGCGAGGCTGACGTTTCATCCAAAGCTGCACAAGAGTTCAGCCACTCGTGACGAACGGACGTTAAAATTCAACGACAGTAAAACTCATTTCAATCAGCTGCTCCTCTGCAACGGTGAAATAGAAAAATATCTCAAGTCTTGAATCTTCTCGCTGAGAATCCTTCAGAGTAGTTTTGGCGTTTGTATATTTACATCTGTACGCAGACGGGCCGTGAAGGGAGCAGCCTGGGGGAAGAGCGACAGCTGCCACCGGACTGGACCTGCGACGGCGTGACGTTACTATGACGACCATACTCTTCCCGGCTGCCCATCAACTCTCCTTGTAAACGAAGAGGATGTCCTCGTCGGTCCCGTAGCTCCGCCTGGCCTCCTCAAAGTTACTGACGCTGGTGCAGCACACGCCTACACGAGACAAACACATGATTTCAAACCAAACATGCGGTTTCTTACAATCAGTCAACAAGCAGCTCCACTTTGAGAACACCTTTCTGTACTTTCTACAGTACTCTTCTAGGATGCCCCTGACCCGGTGCAGGTGGTGGGAAACAGAAGAACTCTGGCAACAATAATCAGACCGCTGGACGATGGCTCCCACCCCATGCATGAAGCTGTAGCAGAAGTGCAGAGCTCCTTCAGGGACAGACTGCGGAGCGTCATCGCAGGTCCTTCCTCCCAGCAGCTGTTAGACTTTATAACCATCACAACAAACTCAAACAGGGTTGACACCCCTGCTGTCACTTGCACAGTTTTTCCATTTCTTACATACCGTGTCGCTGTATAAGTCACGTTTTTTGCATAATTTACATGCCCTGAGACTTTTACGCTGAAACAACGTATTTATGGATTTTTCCATTTTTATAAAACTATTTTTGACCATTTTCATTCTTTCTGACTGAAAATTTTGAACACTATCATTTTCAGCCGCTAGATGGCACTCCAGTAGAATGGCATGCCGTTGTGTCATGTAATAGTTAAAAGTGGCTATTAATGACACAATCGGCTTGCCATAGCACTACCACCTTCGTCCAGCTCACTTGGAGCAACCATCAAATCAGTTTCATGTCGCTGCGCCGCCCCGGAGAAATGAAGCTGATTAGAACATTGAAGTGCATTTATTAAGTAAAAATTAAACCGAGACACACCTTTACAGTCGAGAAAACAAATACCGGTAATTGTTTTTAGGTGGTTATCTTGTTAAATTTTGAAGAAATACGCAGCGTTCCTCTTTCCCTCTGTGCGCTCCCGGAGCACCGAGGCAGCGAATCCTTTTGAAATGCAGCTGATTTGACCGTCAAGTGCATTTATTAAGCAAATGTTACACTGAGACACCTTTACTATAATTTTGAGCAAACAATTGTTTTTAAGTGTTAATCTTGTTAAATTCTTGAAGTCCTCCAGTGCACGCTCCCGCAGCCATCATTTGACAATCAATCAATTTCTGGCACAACACCGGCCCACATTTCTGGGTTGTCAGTGATGACACATAATAGATGTGATGTATACAGCAAAGTGACATATTTATGGATTTTTCCACTTTATTAAACAATTTTGGGCTGATGCAACTTATATTTTTCACCTCCAATTCCTACATGTGTCCAGTTTACCACTTTTATTGTCTGTCCAAACAGGCCTCACTTGTAAATGAGTCTTTGAAGCTCAATGTGACTTATCTGTTTAAATAAGGGTTGAATGAATGAAAATAAGACGGTGCGACGTGTACGGCAGAAAATACGGTAGTCTGTTCTGTTTTCTCTTTGTAAAAATGCACATGCACATATTGACCTTACTGTACAGTCTCTTATTCATACTTTGTTTTATATATTTTTATCTTCGTGTGAATCCGCATGCTTCCTGCCTGTCACTTTGCTGCTGGTAAATAACCTGAATTTCCCCACTGAGGGACAATAAAAAGTTATTTCTATTCTATTGAAGGAGAACAAAGACGAGCAAACACATGGGAGATGAGCTCCTCTCCCAAAGCTGCTCTAGGAAAGTCAAAGTGGAAGCTTGATTATTTTCACTTGTGGTCCTGAAGGCAGCTCAATAACTTCTGGAGTCATTAATGCATTTTCTGCCGTACACGTTGCGCCGCTCTATAAGTCGCATCAGTCAATATTTGTCTAATAAAGTGGAACAATCCATAAATATGTCGCTTCGTCGTATATGTCACATCTATTACGCGTCACCGCTGACAACCCAGAAATGTGGGCCGGTGTTGTGCCAAAAATCGATGGGCTGCCAAATGGCGGTCGCGAGAGAGTGCATGTGAGGACTTTAACAAAACTTTTACAAGATTAACACTTAAAAACAATTATTTGTTTGCTCGAAATTATAGCAAAGGTGTGTCTCAGTCTAACATTTGCTTAATAAACGCACTTTAATGGTCAAAACAGCTGCATCTTGCCAGGGCGGTGCAGCTGGTTTGACGGTCAGTCCAAGCAGCGAGCAGAACCAAGGTGAGGAGCTATGGCAGGCCGATTGTATCATTAATAGCTGGTGAAGATTCTCAGCCATCCAGGACATGGTAAATTCAAAAAAGTTCAAGAAAAAACAAAACAATAAAGTATAAAGTAAAGTATAATAAATAAATCCTGATGCATGCTCAATAATCCTGGTAGAAAGTCTTTCGGATGAAAAACGAAACGTTTCTACAATTTTTTTTTTTTTTTTAATGTCTAGAGGACCAGATTTAACTTTTTTTAATAATAAATAAAGTCCAGTTGTTTTTGTCTTGAACTTTTTTGAATTTGTCATTATAGCCACGTTTACCTTTTACATGATACAACGGCATACCATACATCTACTACTCTGCTGCCATCTAGTGGCTGAAAGTGGCACTGCTCAAATTTATTTTCAGTCAGAATTAATGGAAACGTCATATCTCAGCCAATAACTGATTTATAAATATGGGAAAAAAATCCATAAATATCTTGCTTCGGCCTATAAGTCGCAGGGCATGCAAATTATGCAAAAAAGTGTGACTTATAAGGTGAAAAATACGGTGTGTGTTCAGGTGGGCTCATATTCCTACATCGCCATCATCCTGGTGCTGACTACCATAATGGGTTTATCAGAAGTGGCAGTGACAAAAAGACAGGAGACAGAACTGGAAGTGTCAGAAATGAAGATGTTGAGGTTCTCCTTAGGAGTGACAAGGATGGATGAGATTAGGAATGAGATCATGAGAGGTGCAGCACAAGTTGAACAACTGGGAGATAAAGTTAGAGAGGCCAGACTGAGATGGTTTGGACATGTCCAGTGGGTATACTGGTAGAAGGATGTTAGAAATGCAGCTGCCAGGAAAAAGACAACAGAAGAAATGTCCTCACAATAAAAATAAATGACTTTACAGTCTGTAATCCCTTCATGACCGAGTGCTTACGTTAAACATGCAGTAATACAGGCACTGCACCTTCAGCTGTTTTCTTTGAATCCTATAATATTTAACAAGAGGAAGCACTTACGGTCAGAATATGCAGGGTTGTTGTAGAATATGCAGTCAGTGGTCGGGTTGAAGCCACACACAACCACAAAGTGGCCCTGGTACTCCGGCTTCCTGCAGAAACACTTCTGTCCCACAGGCAGGAAGCAGCAGTATTTGACCGGCGAGGAGCACAGCTCACACGTCAGGACCACAGCGTTGACCAGCACTACGGCCACGTGGCCCTGCTCCAGGTGAGACTGGATTTCCTGAACCGTCACCGAACTGCAAAAGAGCTTAGGATTTATTCCGCAACAGAAAAATCTGAGGTGATCAAGCATAAATAAAAAAACTCACCATTTCTTCACCACCACACCTTTACTGTCTGCATTAAGGAAGAGCTTGTTCACTCGGTCCTCCTCTGTGTCAAAATGCTTCTTGTAAAAGGACTGTAAGAAACACACCAGCAGACCATCAGTGATGCTCAGAGACATCTGGGTCTGGTTTGAAGGACCGCAGCTCAGAACCTTCAACACACCTGGTTTTTAAAGCCTTTATCCACACCAAGAGTCTGAGTGCAGAAGCAGTGTCTGACTCCTAGATGAAACATGAGGTAGGCCAGGTCGATGGTCCACACGCTCTCCGTCAGCTTCAGCTCCCAGCATGCTCTCTGAAAGTCCTCGTCGCTCACAGGGTGCAGGTACCTGCCGGGAGTCCACATGCATGCATAAACTCTGGCAACACGCCCTCAAATAGTCAGTTCAGTTTATTTATATAGCGCCGTCACAACAGAAGTCATCTCAGGGCACTGAACAGAAACTTTCATATTTAAAAATAATAATTTAACACTATTTATCTGAGGAGCAGACTGCTTTGAGTTTAACTCCATCACAGAACTCTCATCTTGAACAAGCATGAAGGCGACAGTGGAAAGGAAAAACTCCCTCGTGAGGAAGAAACCTTTAGCAGAACCAGACTCAGGACAAGCGTCCATCTGCTTCAACCAGCTGGGTTTGGTAAGAACAGATACACAATGGCAGGTCAGAATCACGTTAAGATAGAAATAGTATCAAATGAAAACTACTCAATTGTAACAATTAAGGAAATGAGATCCATTTGTCTTCTAGTAGTCTAAGTCTATAGCAGCATAACAAGGCCACCCTAACTATAGGATTTATCAAAAAGGGAAGTCTTAAAACTGGACAATGTTTCAGCCTCACGGACAGAAACTGGAAGTTGTTCCACAAGAGAGGAGCCTGATAACTGAAAGATCTTCCTCCATTCTGCTTTTGGAAACTCTAGGAACCACAAGTAAACCTGCAGTCTGAGAGCGAAGTGCTCTGTTAGGAAAATATGGAACATTAAGATCTGTTTATCTGTTTGATAGGTTTCCCAGCTATTTCCGGTCTGTCTCTTTGCTCCTTCACACCTGCTGTTTTGTTGACTGTTATAGACGAACATGTTTGTAAATTGGTTTTACTGGTATGTTACACTGGGATAGCGACGCGTTATGTTCCCGGGTGTTGGAAGGACACAGGCCAGCAGAGTTCAGTCCCAGAATGCGCATGCGCATTAGAAACTGTTAAAAGGGAAGCGCTGTCTAGCAATGGAAACTCGTGTTAGGAAAATAAAAGCACCCAGGTGTCTTTACTTACTTCAGGACCATCCTGGAGCAGGCTAAGCCGCAGTCCCAGTGGTACAGCTGCCGGATCACTGGTACATCCAGCAGAACGGCATCCTCTGAGGAAAACCCACCGAGTTACAAGAAGAACCGCGACCTCACCCCACATTAGACATCGTTAGGAGTCATACCTGTCATTCTGCTGCTGTCCTAACCCCGGAGGAGCCAGGCGGTCTTGTTTACCACTCGGGAGGTGGGGTCGCGTTTCCTCATCGATGCTCACAGTTAGATTAAGATTAACAGCCTAACTCTTGTAATGTGAGCCCAGAGCAGCTGCTCGGTGACACCGACCATACCGTCACAAACACACGGAGACAAACAAATTACCTTTCTGTGCTGTAATCTGTACTTCCCTGCTGCTGATGATGATGCTTTGTGTTTTGTTGTCCTGTTGGGTACAAGTATGCTGCCCCCCAGCGGCGCGGAGGAGGGTTTTTTTTGGGTCTGGTGAAATCATTGATGGCAAGACGGTTTATCATTTAATAGTCACACATCAAATACGAAAGCAAATTACTTTTTTTTTTTTTCTGGTTAAACTCACATTTAGTTAGCTAGAATACCACAGGACATATTTTTACAAGCCTTTCAGGGAGTAATCACTGGATGTACACATTCATTCAACCTTTATTTAGACAGGTTAATCCCACTGAGCCTCGAGGACTCATTTACAAGAGACCTGATTTCAACAGAGTGATGACAGCAACAGCGACAACAATAGACAATTATAAAACAGGCATGCAGATTTATTTTTATTTTTTCAAATTAAAATAAGATGGCAAAAAAGTAGCAAAAACAGCTAGATTCTAAGGTGAATGTAGAAAACTAAAAACAGGAACATGTCTGCATTGGTTCTTGCCAGGAGTCCAACAGATGCTTAGAGAGGTCAAGGTCGAGAGCTTCAAATCTTTTTGCAAGATATTCCAGGAAACAGGAGCGGAGTAGGAGAAGGCCCTTTTGCCTAGTTCAGTCCTCACTGAGGGAACACTGCAGGTAATAATGTCCTGAGAGTGCACGCTGTAGCTGCACTCACTCAGAGACATGTAGGAGGAGATGTATGAAGGCAGGATGTATGGCAATACAGTTTATCATTTAATAGTCACACATAAAATACAAAAGCAAATTACTGTTGTTGTTTTTTCTGGTTAAACTCACATTTTAGTTAGCTAGAATACCACAGGACAGATTTTTATGAGACTTTCGGGGAGTAATCACTGGATGTACGCATACAGTGGATCAACGGTTAGCACTGTTGCTCACAGCAAGAAGGTCCTGGGTTCAATCCTCGGTTGGACCTGGGGTCTTTCGGTGTGGAGTTTGCATGTTCTTCTCATGCTTCTGTGGGTTTTCTCCGGGTACTCCGGTTTCCTCCCACAGACTAAAAACATGCATGTTAGTCTGTCTTCAGGTCCAGGCCTCCCTTGCAAAATAGATCTGTGATCTCAATGGGATTTGCCTGGTTAAATAAAGGTTAATAAATAAATACAGATGATTAGCTTTTGGACTGGAACCAGCTCAAGATGGCCACCACAGCGCACTAATCTCTGAAAAACCCCAAATGTCTACAACAGTAAAGTTTACAGATATCAAGCCTTCATTTGGCAGCTGGGCCTCGTCATCATATTCTGAGCGCTACACATCAGAACATCCTTTTATTGTTAACAAGATTTCTTATGAAACACTTGACAGATTTTAGAGACATTCTCAAACAAAATTAACTGGATGTTCATCTACAACTGATTAACTAATAATCAGTCAAATACAAGATGATCGCCTCATTTACTTGACCTCAGCCAACAGAAAATAAAACTAACTCACATTTACAAATACTGAGCTAAAGTTTGATGAGAGTAGCTGAGAGTTATTCTCAAAAGATGAGTGTGAAAATATCCTGATGCATGCTCAATAATCCTGGTAGAAAAATCTAAAAAAGTGAAATCTGGTCCTCTGGACATTCAAAAAACAAAACAAAGCAAAACAAAAAAAATTTAGAAACGTTTCGTCTTTCATCCGAAAGACTTCCTCAGTCTGAGGTGCTGTATTCAGCTCAGTCTCTTAAACAGCACCTTCTCAGAGTGGATCAACCAGTTTGCTGCTGACAACCAAAACCAGCTGCTCACATGGTCAAGAAGTTACATTGTTAGGCTGATGGTCCTTCTTCTCCACCCCGCTGCCTTCTCAGCGCACGCCAGCGCACGCCAGCGCACGCCAGCTCACGCCAGCTCACATCAGCATGGATGGGAGCCCGCAGCCTGAGCGCAGCACAGAAGCGCCGCGCACCCGCGGCCCTCACCCACAGCCCC